CATATAACATAACAATAGGAAAATCATATCACATATTATTCACGCAAATACTTTTCAAACAAAGTAATATAGTCATAAAAAATTTCATAATTTTTGAGTTATTTATATATAATGTCCTCATTCATTCTAGGAATTCCTAGCAGACTCTATTTATGATTCAAAGAAACTCTATTCTAGCTCCACGACTCGACATAGGATGATCCTAAGGATGTTGGAACTAGAGATCTGATACCAACTGTAACGCCCCTGGTTTCACACAAGGCTACAATCCAAAATGAACCCAAGGATGTCAAACTCGTCATGTACCCATACTATGCAATAACACATTTCACCATCACAGTAATATCTCTCTAGTGGAATCAATTAAGCTGCTTCCCTTGGACCGTTTGAATGAGGTTGCTGGAGAGCTTCAGTTCGCAGTAGAAGCTCGGGGCAATGGAGTTCGGGTCTGCTTAGTTCGTCGGCGATCGGAGCTCGGAACTAGGCGGCGGTGCTGTAATGCAAGGATTTGCTAACAGCTTGGTCTCAACTCTTTTTTTTTTTTTAAGTTTTGCGACCTCCCTTCCATCATGCTGGAAGGGGTTTTTAAATGAAAGAAGGACAGCTTGACTTCTCCTTGAATTGTGGGATGTGACCACATCCTCTTCAGAGACGTCTCGCCGTTCCTCGATACCATGAATGGTCATTCCAGGGATTGTGCTCTATGTCCTGTCACCTACGATGGGAAGGCCCATTCTTGTATGTGAGGCAACAAACGACTGCTATCCGAGTGGATTTGACCAGCATTAATGAACCGCATTTATGAGTTCGCAGATCGATGAAGTGTCTGTCCGATCACTTGTACTGTGCGTAATCGCCCGGCGTGCTTTGAGCACGCCGCTTTCTCCTTTCCGGTCAGGAGAGACGGTGAAGTAGGTGTACAGTACTCGAGTGGGTCTAGCCAGCTTGCCGAGTGCCGGCGGATCCAGCTCTTGGCTCAGACAGCCGAGGTGAGTCGCATTTATGAATGCTCAGGTTGACTCGACGCCTGTCCAGTCCTTTGCGCTGTGTTCACTGTGGGCGACCGTTTTGACGGTCCTGGGGTACTGTGCTCTCTCTCCCTTTGGGTCGAGAGAGATGGGAAGGCCCATCTTAGTACGTGGGGCAGTGGATACCCAGCTGTACTGACGGTTTTGGGGCTTGCTGGCGGATTCAACTCCGAACTCGGGCAGGCGAGTTGAGCGAAGAGCGAATTTCCGCCATCCTGATCGACCATAACTCGTACTGGCGAGTCGACCGTTAGGCGAACCTGGACTTGAGTACAGTCGACGTCTACGCGGTTTAGGTCCGTGCCAGAGAACTGGGCGTGCGAGCTCTTCTCGTAGGCAAATTTTCTGTAGATCCATAGAGGTATTTTTTACCGTCTACAAGACCCCCTTCAAAGTTTTCAGACCTAAACTGGCTTGCGCGTGGTCTGGAATACTTTGAATGAAGAAATTGTTGGCGAAGCAAGTGCTTTCGATTTCTCTTAGGATTTTTAGCAAATCCTCAGCTATCAACGGGTTTGTTGTGCCTTTACCGATTACAAGAAATTGTTGGCGAAGCAAGTGCCTTCGATTTCTCTTAGGATTTTTAGCAAATCCTCAGCTATCAACGGGTTTGATGTGCCTTTACCGATTACCGTTTGAATCGGGCTAGCCATACTATTCCCCTCAGTATGATGAGTTGTCGAACAGTTTCTCTTAGGCTTAATGCTAAGATTTCTGCTCTAAACCTTAGCCATCTGGGGCATGGGTTTCAACCGTTTAAGCAAGGTCATTCTTTTGGCTTTGTTCGTAACTTTACCTTTGAGGGCGAATGCATCGTCAAGGCGAAATTAGTTTTTGGGAGCCAAATTTCGCGCGACTCGTGGGGTTATGCCCCGTATTTGCAGGCGAAACCCTTCCTTTTGTAGGCGGAATCGGATCTGACGAGAGATGAGCCACGTGTCTGCTGATAGAGCCTCGTGCTTCCCAGCTAAGACATTGGATCGTGGCGATCGTGATTTGACAGCACGATCTTCGTGCGTTTCGCCCTGCGACGTATCGTGGCCGTGGTTCTCGGACTCAACCGTCGGCTTCAACCGCCAATCTCGGTTCCTTCGATGTACTGAGGGTGATCTGGGCCGTCGAATTTGATCGTGGCCACGTTTCCTGTCCGTTAGGGTTTTCGCCTTTCGAGGGCAGTCGTGGCCACGTGGACAACTCCGCCCTTCTAAATCAGCCGTTTTCCTCCATTGGGAGTTACCGTGCTTTCAAATCTTGAAAGGGAACATCCAAAGAAAGAATTCCCGCTTCCTCTTACAATGGCTCCGAAATCTAAGAGGTGTAAAGTGAGGGGTTCAGGCCCCGGACGTTACTCCGACCGTCTCTCCGCCGGCATGCCTGCCGGTGCTATGGAGTCGCGCCCAGGTACGTTGATGGGTTTACTGGACAATCTCTTGTAGGTCTTAGGCGTCGGATTTGGGGCGATGAGCGTTGCTCGTTAAGCTTGGTAACCCTCCCGATTTGGGGCAAAGTTTGCCCTGTTTGCCCTTAGAAGACGATTACCGTCTCCGCGGGCGAGCCCTTCAGCGGGAAGGAGGCGAACTCCCTTTTTGTAAGGCGAGTCCGGCCCTTTCCTGTTAGAGGGACGTCTAGTCTGTAGGGGCAGACTTTATTCGAAGTGGGTTCCTCTTTGCGATTTCGCCCTCCTCTGTTTGATGGGCGATTTTGCCCCTACAGCGGATTTTGTCTTGATTGACCTTCTTCTTTTCTTTTTCTTGCAGCGACCTTTTCCGATGAGGCTTTTCCAGAGCTCCTTTGATTCTTCCCCGTATTGCTGTTGCGTCTTGCAGGTCGAGAGGGGGCGTCGGCTGCCGAAGAGCACGCGGCCGATCCTATTCTGATTTCAGACGATGAATCTGAAGGCCGTGCGAATTCCGCTGCTTCGGATTCCGCTCCCCAGCCGGGAGCTGAACCTTGCCTCGAAATTCCGCCCGCAGAGCTGCCGAAACCTCAATTTTTGTTTGGCGACTCCATGACCGACCCTTCCGCCCTGTTGCTCAAAGAGAGCCGGTGGTACCGCACGGTAGAGGGGACCCATTACTACCTCCCCAGCATGTCGAGAGGGTTTTCGATTGTTGAGCTGCGGTCCCTCGCGATCCCTCGGACGATGAACTGGGATTTGACCCCCACTCAGGACGGGGTCACTTGTGGCGTCTTTACGGGCTCTACGGCTGGGTATGGAGTGGAGAGCTCATGTAAGCGCGTGACGGGTCTGCGCCCTGGCTTAGTGTCTGTTGAACCGCCCGTAGGGGAGTCGACAGCGGTGGCGGAGACCTTCCATCACCGCTTCTTTCGAGCTGGTGGGAGCTTTCCCCCGAAGGACTTTAGAGCCCCGGGGTGGGTTTACTCTGCGCCTGGCAGCGACACGTGGTGGTCCAAGATCACCGACTATGTTTTGGCCGAGAATGCTGACCTCAAGGACACAGAGCTATATGTGGCCCTCGAAGCCACTCGACATGGCCTGCGGATCAACGCTTCTCAATTCCATAGCATTCTGGAATTGTATTGTGCGGAAAGCGGCACATTTTTCACCCCCAACGGTGAACTTGGTATCACCCCCTTCGAGATGCACGACGTGTCAGGGCTACCTCTGGGAGACTTCCCTTATGAGGAATACGTCCCTGATCAAGATGAGATCGATCAGCTGTCGGACAATTCCCCTCTGGCGGTTGAAACTCTGTGGGAGTTACTCTGTCACTTCCACATATGCCTCAGTACCTTAGGGGCCTCGGATCATAAGGGGAAGAGGAAGAAGACCCCAGGGATTAGCCACCCGAAGTGGAGGCGAGGATAGCTAAAGAAGGAAGCACCGTGATTCTCGACCGCGACGAAGGCGGATTTAAGTCTGGTACGGTTCTTCACTCATTCCATCATCAGGCGAAGTTTCTCATCTCGGGGAAGGCGCTGCTCGCGGGGTACCTCATGTTATGGCTGAAGAGGTGCGTAATCCCCACTCACTCCTTCGAGGCTCTTCCTATAGAGGTCGTGTATCCGGCGGTTTGCCTGGCTCACGGGAAGTCTTATTCCCTGGTATCGGCGACGATAGCGTGCATCCATCGGGGGCTCCGTACTCTGACGAGCCAATTCTGCCGTGTGTCGGTCCTCGACGAGGGGGAAGGAGAAGTTATCAGAACCCCCAATCCTAGGGTGGGGCTACCGTATACCTACTTGGTGGCATGGTTCGTCTATCACTGCGAATGCTTGATGAGTGCCCCGGCAGCGCTTCAGGGAGACAGGTTTGTCCCCTTTGTCCAGCGTTTGGAGAGGTGCTCCTGGAAGTGCAAGGACATCCCCGATACGAGGAAGACGCTCTCCCACTTCGGGCACTATAATTTTCGTCGATCTTTTCCTTACTTCAGCGGGGGTGGATATGGAGAATCTCTCAGGGATGCGCCGACGGCGGATCACCACACAGTCCTTACCCGTGGTGCCTTTCGCTGGTTGGTGGACATTCGACCGGGGTATCACGTTCTGAGAACAGGCTCCACATGCTATCTCGAGCCATACATCCCTTGCAGGTTTGCCTGCCAGTTTGGGTATGATCAGTTGTATGTGGGCAACGCCAACCCTCGCCTACACTTCGAAGGAGGACTGGTTGACGGCGCTCGGGGGTGGTTCTGGACCCATGCTGGAGGTACTCAAGCTCGTTTTGAGTTGCCTGCGAAGGACCGCGATTTACACCACACGCTCTTGTACTGTCGGTGGTATCGGGGTGCTAGTGCTGACCCTGCCAACTTCTGGTTCCAAAGCTCATGTCTGGCGGAACGCGATCGTCCCATCAGGGGCTCTCTCCGTTCTTCAAAGAGAAGGGGCCACCAAACCGCTAGGGAGTTGTTCTCGGAGGATCCAGTGGAGGACTGTGAGAGCTTCGATGCTGGTGGCGAATCTGAGGTTCCCGATGTTCGAGCTCCGGTTCAGAGTCCGACAATCGGACAAATGGGGGCACCTTTGCTATCCCCGAGTAGCTCGCTTCTCTCGAAGCGTCAGCGGGAGGCGGTGGCCGAGAGTTCCAGAGCGGAGGCGGCCAAGAAGGCTCGCTGTGATGGGACAGTCGGGACCATCCAAGCGGCAGGGGGTCGGGATGACGTTTCTCCGATAAGGATTCCTGGAGTGGCTCTGTCCGGGTCTGGAGTGGCTCCGTCTGGGTCTGGAGCCGTGCCGCCTGCCTCACCTGCCACATCGGGGGCAGTTCAAGAGACTCCGAAGGACGCTCCTCTGCCGTCCGACGTGAGGTTACCGTCGGGAGTTCCAACGGCTTCTTTGCCCGCATCACGAGGTAGTCTTTGCAACAGTACCCTTGATTGCAATGTTGCTCTTGCACCTTTTGATATTGGTGATGGATCTATGCAGGTGCGGTTGAGAAAGTGATCTCTATTCCTTCCGACGAAGAGGAAGAAGCTGGAGATGATGAGGGGCTTACGGGCTTAGGTAAGTATAGACTTTAGCATTACTCGTTCTTTCATGCCTCACCGTAAATAGGGTCCCTTACGAGGGGTCTCCGTTAACTCTCTCGGTGCATTTGTAGCCGATCATGCCCGCGACATCGCCGGCAAAGAGGGTCCTTCCTCTTGGGCGAATCGCTCGTCTAGGGAGACGGGCGAATCTAAGGAGGATGACGACGACGCCTCCATGCACGAGGCCCTGTCGAGTGAGGAAGAGGACTTGGCTCATGAAGATGCGACTGGTCAAATAGGGGGATCCCCTGCTCCTGCGGCGGTGTCTGCTGAGGATCGTTTCTCAGTGCGAGAGTCACCGCTTCAAAGAGAGGTTTCTGCTCAGCAAGTGATCACCTCCCTGTCGGGGGTCGCCGTTGATGCCGTGATTGCTGTTCCGAGGGCATCATTGGTCACACCGGCCCTGGCGACGCCAACTACTACTTCCACAGTTATGGCCACCGGTGCTTCAACCGTGGTTCCATCTATGATGGAAGAGGCTGCCCTCTCTCCCCTGGAGCGTGAGCGAAGAAAGAGTGCGGCACGATCCGTGGCTGAATTCCATGACACTATGGCTGCCTGCATCAGGCTCGCGCTGGAAGAGAGTTGTCCTTTCGAGAGCTTCGAAGAAGATATCGACTACATCATAGGCTTCTTAATCAAGAGGCTAAAGCATTCTGGGGCGCAGCCTTATTTTCAGCGTAAAGAGGCAGTGAAAGAAGCCATCCAGCAGTTGCTTGCTCTTCGCGCGAAGAGTTCCACTCTTGTGGATCTTGCCTCCGGCGAAGTCCGAGCGGTGGTGCAAGAGCGGGATCGCCGTCTGAATGAAACTATGTCACTAGAGGCGAGATTGTCGGAGGAATTGGTGCAAGCCAAAGCTGAGAATGAACGGATGGTCCTTGAGCGACAGAAAGCTGACAACCGCGTTTCTCGCTTGTCTTCGGAGGTAGAGGCTCTGAAGCAGGTCATAGCCAAGGCGCGGGCCTCATTGGCTATTCAAGAGAAGGCTCGTGAGCAGGCGGTCAAAGAGTTGGAGAACATTGAATCTCGCCAGCAGCTGACTGCCAATTCAGTGGAGGAAAAGGAGCGAGCCCATAAGGAAGCCAAAGAGACCGTTCAAGACTTGGCCTCGCGTACGGATGAAGATCTTCGCCGAGAGATTCTAAGGAGGCTTGAACTTCGCCATGCCGAAGAACTTCGTGAGGCGGAGCTGCGGTTAAAATCTCTGTAATTCGCTTTCAATTTTCCGTTTGTAATAGGACTTCCCTTTCACGAATGAAATTATCCCTTTTGTTTCTGGCATATTGCCATTTGTGTGTGTTTCATTTCGCAATCATGCATCGGTCGGAATTTGGTCGTAAGAGAATCTCAATTATAGAGGAATTCTTGTCGGCGAGTTTTTGCTGCAAGTTCACCTTATTCGCAGGCGAATTTCGCTCGCAGGCGGATTTGCAGGAGCTAATAGCGAACTTGGCTCTGAATGGGTTCCGCTTTCAGTAGTCCACGTATCAATCCATGTGTACGCCGGTTAGGGAGACGTGGGCTAGCCGTTCTGCATTAAGTGCGAAGTAGTGGGCCTCTTCGTCTCTCGCGCCCGATTCGGGCCGTTGTTGCAGATCGTGGTCACGAACCATCAGATCTCGTCCGTCCAGATAAGATCCGATCTGTTCGACCTTACCCTTCAACTGTTCTAGCCTTGAACGGTCTAATCGAGTCTCGCTATCGTCCTCCTCAGAGTAAACCCGAACTTCTTCTTCCTCACACTCCCAATGGCGCCGAAGGTGAAGAGAGTCGTTTCCAAGAAAAGGAAAGAGCCTGGTTCTTCAGGTGCTGCCGAAGCCGTCGCGGCTGAAGGTATGTTCTTGCTTCGACTTTCGTGTGAGTTTAGTAGGTGTTCCTCCCCCAACTGTTCCCTGTATCGCTTGTTGCGTCTTACAGGTCGAGAGGAGGTGCCGGCTGCCGAGGAGCATGCGGCCGATCCCATTCTGATTTCAGACGACGAATCTGAAGGCCGTGCGAACTCCGCTGCTCCGGATCCCGCTCCCCAGTCGGGAGCCGAACCTTGCCTCGAAATTCCTCCCATCACGGCGCTCGCTCCAGGCCAGAGCTTTGTTCCCTCCGAGTCTCAACCATGGCAGGCCCGTATTGAAGAGTTCGAAGGTGCTGTAAGGCAGGCAATTTCCCTCGTCGAACTCGGTATGGGTAGCTTTGACAGCTTCAGGCAGTCCCTCTATGATCGCGTGGCCGATTTACGGCGATCAGGTGAAAACCGTCTCGCTACCCGTTGCGTGCGTGAACTCCGTCTCTTGGAGCCACGCATGATGGTGCTAGAGGACTTGCTACGGGGAGGTCCGGAGGCTAAAATGGCATCCTGTCTAGCTCACTTCAGGCGTCAGGAAGCCTTGGAACAGGAAACCCGCTCCAAAGAGATAGCGGATTCGGAGTCTGCGGCTAACTTTTGGGTGAGCCAACAACGTTTACTAGAGGAGCAAGTCATTGACCTGAACCATACCATGGCTCGCCTGAGGGCCGAGTTGGGACAGGCGGAGGCGAAGTGGAAGGGGCTCCAATCCGACGTTATTAAGGTGAACGAGCACGCTGAGGCGGAGACTCGGCGCCTGCTGGCTTTGCGTCAGACAGATGCTGCCGCCATGTCGAACCGCGAAGATCGAATTCAGAAAGCCGCTGAAAATAAGGCTCGGGAAGACCACGCGAGCCAGGTTGAGGCGGTCAAAGAGGAGATCTCCACCTTCAGCGTGTTCGACTGAGACTTCTGCCTCAGGACTGTATTAAGACATTTTGCTTGCTTGTTTTACATTTGGAACTATGCCATGACTCTTAAAGTCATAACTTTGTTCAAATGTATTGTCTTGAAACACTGGGTGTATGTTTTGCTTCTTTGAACATGTCATTATGACTTTCGCAATTTGCAAAAACATAACTTTGTTCAAATGTACTGTCTTAAAGTATCAATGAGGTTTTGTGTCCGCTCATTGCTTGTGTATTGGCGAGATTTAATTTGTTTTCAGGCGAGATTTTGACCGCGGCGAGTTCCGCTTGGAAGCTAAACTAAACTGTTGGCGAGTTTCGCTTGGAAACGCAACCCAACGGCTGGCGAGTTTATGCTGTGTGCGAGACCCGTATGATGGTGGGTTTGTGTTGAAAACCCGACCCGATTCGCCTGGCTAGTTTGAATTGTAGGCGAAAACTCGAGCAGTTAGCGAGTTGATCCAATAGTCGGGGATCCGACGGCGGGTCGGCTCCTCTGCCACCGTCGTCGACGTGGGCGCCCCGGCCGCCGTCCCTGCGGTCCCGGACCCCGTGGCTCACCCTGCCTTCGTGCCGCTCCAGCACCTAGTGGATATGGTGCACGGGACCGCTCTCTCGGTCAGCGTAGGCGACGGCCCCTACCATCACGCGCTTCCTTTTGTGGAAGCGGCCTTGGAGGCGGTCCGTCGTGCTGGCGACGCCTCGCTCACACGGCGATGTGAGCGAGAGCTTGAGCGGGTGGCGGGGTGGACGTACCGCCTCGAGGAGTTGTTTTATGAGGACTCCTCCGACACGCCCCCGCCTCCTTCTCTGTGCTTTCTGCTCGAGCGCGAAGAACGAGCGAAGCGGATCCAGGCGAAAGAAGCGGAGCTCCGACGTCTGCAGCAGCGGCAACAAGCGGTGCTGGACCGGATGGACGCCTACCTAGACCGGGCTTTCTTCGAGGATGCCGGTTCCCTCCGCGGCGAGGCGAAGCTGGTGGAGCGCGGGCACGAGGCGAGGAGGCTTGGCGAGGTCGCCGCGAGAGTGGACCAGGAGCTCCAACTCCTTCGTCGAGAGGAAGAAGCCAGCCAGGCGAATTTGGCCAAGCAACAGCAGAAGAAGAAGGAGGAGGCGAGGACCCGACGTGCGGCAGAGCGTGCGAAGCTCAAGGCCAAGATCGGCTCGTTCAGCGTGCTGAAGTTCCTGTAGTCCTCAAGCCGTCTGGATCCTCCTTTCTTTTTATTTGTTTTGTTAGCTTAATTGGTGCCTCAGGCATCATAGTCAAACTGCAAACTCATGTAAACTATGGCCCGTAGTGGCCCTTTTGCTTATTTTGTTCACCTTTGCTTTGCGCATACAGTTTTCTCTCTTTGACTGCGCCGTTGGGCATTTGAATTGAACTTGACGATCCACTGATTGTCCTGTTCAGGACTTAGTCACATTAAGCTCTTGTTTTGCCTTCTGTTGCTCACAGCGTGGGATCGGATTAACTCCGATCTTCGCGTTGTAGCTCCAACGGGATCGAGAGAGTAACCCTTGGATCGCAATAAGGAACAAACGTTTGCCTTTACGACCAACTGAAGAACTTGACTTCGACTCGCCTTTCGGCGAGTTGTTGTCTGGGGAACCGTCTTCGACGATTGTCGTCATGTGGGAATGAGACAATTGATTGTGGTAAGAGTCATCGCCTGGTAGACTCCACCCATCAGTTATCCTAAAGCAATGTTAGGACATCCGGAACAGGTCAGATAGTTCAGGGACGTAGGAGTGTGACTATTGACAGGGGTAATGGCACGTCGCATGGTAGGCCATTGTTCGGGCTATGCTATTCGTAAGAATAACGGCGTCAATCATCAGAGGTGATCATTAACCTGATGGGGTCTTGTCGCGATCGGAGCGACCATGGGGACCTACCATTCTTCGGAAGAGGATTGGTAAGTAGATTGTGTCAGAGGTTTAATGTTAACATGACAGGTAATGTCATGATTGGAACAACTTTGAGGACCCACCATCCTTTAGAAGAGGATTGGTAAGTTGATTTTGTCAGAGGTTTAATGTTAACGTGACAGAGAATGTCGTGATTGGAACGACTTTGAGGACCCATCATCCTTTAGAAGAGGATTGGTAAGTTGATTTTGTCAGAGGTTTAATGTTAACGTGACAGGGAATGTCGTGATTAGAACGACTTTAGTGGATCCGTCATCTCATTGGAGGAGATAGGCGAATTGAATGTATATGTCGTGATATGAACGACTTTGGTGGATCCGCCTTCTCCTTGGAGGAGATAGGCGAATTGGATCCCACAAGAGGCTTTCGCCAGAGCGGGCAAAGCAGGAACAGTTTAGCCTCATGTACTAGTTGGAGGTTTTGAGGGCCAGTTTAGACTCATGCACTCTTGGGAGTTTGTGAAGGAGCACTATGGGTAGTACTTCTTCAGGTATTTGCCGTTGATGGGCATCATGATCTTATCGCCGTTCGGTTTGACGAGGCAATAGGCACCGTTCGAGTAGACTGTCTCTACCACGAATGGTCCTTCCCATTTGGACTGGAATTTCCCCTTCTTCTTGGAAGTGAGGATCATTGGTCTACGGACGGATAGGACGAGCTCTCCTTCTTTGAAGGCTCGGCGCTTGACTTTCTTGTCGAAACTCTTGGCCATCCGAGCTTGGTAAAACTCAATGTGCTGCTGAGCTTCCAGTCGCTTGTCGTCCAGTGCTTCGAGCTCTGCGAGTCGAAGTTGGTGATTTTCCTCAGTCATCATCCCTGTCGCTAGGGCGACGCGAAGGGATGGAATCTGAATCTCTAATGGCAATACAGCTTCACAGCCGTATACCAACGAGTAAGGCGTGGTGCCAGTCGGTGTACGAACCGTCGTGCGATATCCCCACAGGCTCTCGCCCAGCTTTTCATTCCAGTCGCGCTTGCTAGTGGAAGTCAGCTTGGTCAGGATCTTAATGATCGTCTTGTTGAAAGCTTCGGCCAGACCATTCGCTGAAGGGTTGTAGGCCGTGGACGAGAGGTTCTGTATTCGGAATTTGTCGCAGAACCTGGTGAAGGCATGGCTAACGAATTGCGTGCCGTTGTCGTGAATGATACGCCGGGGTACGCCGTATCGGTAGATGACATGGTGCTTGATGAATTTGATCACGTCGCTAGTCTTGACTTCTCTTAAGGGGATGGCTTCTGCCCATTTAGAGAAATAGTCGGTGATCGCGAGGATGAAGCGATGGCCTCTCGCCGATGGTGGAGAAATTGGCCCGACTATGTCCATCCCCCATGCCTCGAAGGGCCAAGATGCCCTCGTCGGATGTAGATCCTCAGGAGGCTGGTGTATGTAGTTGGCGTGGATCTGGCATTCGTAACATCGCTTAGCATAAGCGACTGCATCAGTAACCATCCCAGGCCAGAAGTAGCCCATCCTTCGTAAGCGATCCCAAAGCTTGGGTCCGGGCTGATGAGCTCCGCACACGCCGTCATGTGCTTCGCGTACGGCTTCTTGCGCCTCCGCTTTTGAAAGACAGCGAAGTAGCAAGCCGTCGTATGACCTGCGATACAACGTTTTAGTGGTTGAATCGTAGTAGAACCATGAGGCACGTCGTCGGACCGACTCTCGTTCCTTCGAATCCTCAGGCAACATGCCGTATAGGACATAATCGATGATCGGGAGACGCCAGTCTTCCTGATCTGGCTGACCCGAGGCTTGATGAGTGGCGTTTGCCTCTGGGACGTCTCTGGGTCGAAAGAGTTTTCGGCTGGCGACAGCGACCTTTTGGGTCGTTCCAGGAGGCTGGGCTAAGTTAGCTGCCAAGGATGCGAGAGCATCCGCATGGGTGTTCTTTGAACGGAGCACGTGCTCAATACGGAAGCTCTCGAATGACTCCACTAGTCTGACCGCTGCTCGGTGGAGCGGGATAAGATCTTCATTCCTGACTTCGTATTCGCCAGTCATTTGTTTGACAATGAGTTGCGAATCGCCATAAGCCTCCAGATGCTTTATCCCGAGCTCTTTGGCTAACTCGAGCCCTATGAGCAACGCGTTGTACTCGGCTACGTTGTTGGTACATGGTTCCGTCAAGGAAAAGGCCCGGGGAAACACGTGACCATGCGGGGAGGTGAGGGCCACTCCCACTCCTGCAGAAATAGAGCCGCTCGCGCCTGCGCGGGACGCACCGTCGAAGAACATCTGCCACACCTCCGGCGACGAAGTCATATTGGCTTCGGGAGGTTCATCCGGCAGATCTTCGAATAGATCGGTCTTCTCCCCCAGCGGGTGACTAGCCATGAGATCGCAGATGGCTTGTCCCTTGACCGATTTCTGCGGCATGAAATGAATGTCGTATTGAGAGAGCAGAAGTGCCCACCTGGCCAGGCGCCAGTTTAGCGCTGCGGGTTGTGTCATGAAGACCCGAATGGGATTCATCCGGGAGATGACATGGATGGTTTGGCCAACCAAGTAGTGCCGCATCTTTTGGATAGCGAACACCAAGGCTAGGCATTCCTTCTCGACCATTGGGTACCGTTGCTCGGCGCCCTGCAAGGTTCTGCTCAGGTAGTAGATGCCCTGCTCGTGGCCTGCATCATCGTTCTGAGCCAAGAGGGCACCCAGAGAATGTTCCATAGCCCGTATGTATATGAGGAATGGCCTTCCTGAGATTGGCGCCGCAAGGACAGGCGGATTTGAGAGATAAGCTTTGATCTCCTCAAAAGCCTTTTGGCATGGCTCATCCCAGACGAAGGAGGTACCTTTCTTCATCAGCTTAGAGAAGGGTTGGCACTTGCCCGAGAGATTCGAGATGAATCTTCGGATATAAGCCAGTCGTCCTTGAAGGCCTCTCAGCTCTTTAAGATTTCGGGGTGGTTGGAGCTCTTGAATAGCTCGCACCTTGTCTGGATCAATTCGGATCCCTTTCGTCGTGACGACGAAACCGAGGAATTTACCGCTAGACATTCCCAAGAATGACTTGGTAGGATTCATCTTGAGCTGATGAGTCCTCATGAGTTCGAACATAGCCTTCAAGTCTTGGAGGTGATCCTCCTTATGGCGACTCTTCACGACCAAGTCGTCCACATAGCATTCGACCGTCTTTCGCAAATGATCTCGAAAGATCATGCTCATGGCTCGTTGGTAGGTTGCGCCAGCGTTCTTGAGTCCGAACGGCATGACGGTATAGCAGTACACCCCCATGGGGGTCCTGAATGCAGTGTGCTTCTCGTCTTCGGGGTGCATTTTGATTTGGTTGTACCCCGAGAAGCCGTCCATGAAGGACATCCTCTCGAATCCGCACGTATTGTCAATGATGACATCCGTGATGGGCAGAGGGAATTCGTCTTTAGGGCATGCGGCGTTGAGGTTCCTAAAGTCGATGCAGATGCGGATCTTGCCGTTCTTCTTCAAGACTGGAACAATATTCGCCACCCAGTCGGGGTGTTGCTCCTCTCTGATGAAGCCGGATTCGATCAGCTTCTTTACTTCAGATTCGATCGCCTCCATGATTTGGGGGCGAAACCGCCTCTGCTGTTGTTTGACTGGCTTGGCGTCAGGGTTGATGTTGAGGCGATGCGTGGCGACCCGCGGATCCAGGCCAGGCATATCCTCGTAATTCCAGGCGAAGACGTCAATGTATTCCCGTACGAGGGCGATGAGATCCTCTTTTTCTTGAGGAGGCAGACTGCCGCTGATGAATATGGGTTTGGGATTCGCCTCGGTACCCATGTTCACCTGGAGGACTTCGTCTTCAGTTGGTGGTTCGCGCTGTTCGAAGCGACTGTTCCACTGGGCGCTAACATGGCGATCCCATGTCTCGTCGTAAAGTGGAAGTCGTTCGTCCTCTGCCATTCCGGCGGGGTCTACTGTAGCCATGTTGACTGTAAGGCCATCGAACAGATCCCTTACGCTGACGTCGGAGTCCCAGGCCGAGGTTGTTGACGACTGATCTCCTGAACATGCGTAATCGGAATCCTCGTCGACGTAAAAACAACACTCCGATGAGGAGGAGGAGTAGCCTAAGCCTCTCCTAGTCCTGTTGAAGTAATTTGAGGGCTTCCCTTTGGGGACGTAGGATGGTTTGATGACCGTCTTGCGTCCTCGGCCGTAATTCAGGCCCTCCAAGCGAGTGAGGTCGTACCCCATGTTGCTCATTATGCGTTTCGCCACTCGACTGTATTGCGAGAACTGGGGCGCTGGGTCTTCGTCCTCAGATTCGTCCCAT